GAAAAAATGGCCTGCCATTGTGCGGGTCAGCCACCTAGGCTTCCTGATGCATATTTCTGAAGCTTCTGGCTGACCTGCACGTGGCAGCTTTGCTGAGTTTTTTCCTGACAAAGCAGGGAAGACGAAGGCATACTGACTAAGCAGGAATCCTGTACATGGGGTCCTGGGTTCAGCAGTAGCAGTCATGTTTCTCCTTCTTGGTAGCTGGTGCAGTGCTGTGTTTTGACTTCCAGCCTGGGAACAGTGTTGGTGAAACCGATGTTTTCGGTTGTTGCTAAGTGATGTTTACCCTGACCAAGGACTTTGTGAGGCTCATGCTCTGCCAGGGAGGAGGGGAAGCCATGAGGAAGCAGAGACGGGGCGCCTGACCCAGGCTAGCCAAGGAGGTATTCCATACCACAGCATGTCATGCCCGGGGTGGGGGGTAACTGGGAGTTACCCGTAAGGACATGGGCTTCCGGGTGGGACTCGTTTTCTTGGCCGGTGGTATCGTATTCTCTTCCGTTGTTATTTTCTCTTATCATTGTTGTTGATGGTAGTAGCGGTGGTGATTTGTGTTGTACATTGGTTGCTGGACTGTTCTTGTCTCAGCCTGTAGGAGTTGCACTCTTTCGATCCTCCTCCCCGTTCCTCCGGGAGCGGGGAAGGGGAGAGCCCCAATGGGGGGGGGGGGCCCTCGATTGCTGTCAGCTTAGCACCACTCACTGGGAGTGAGTGAACAAGTTGCCTGACTGGGTTTAAACCACGACAAACCTTTAGAAAGCAAAATCAGCATACACGGCACACTGCCATGCGATTTGCTGTCATCCTCCGTGGCCTGTGGTGGTGTAGCTGGAGTCATCAAAATTCTCAGCTTCCATGTGCTAGGAGTCTGCAGAAAAAGGAGCCTTGAGAAAGAGGCATTTTTTGCACAGCATTTGTGTTGAAGGCAGGGAAATACCTGATCTAGCAACAGGAACATCACCCACCTACAAAGAGAAGGATGAATCACATAGTAGTAGTTCACGAACTGTGAAACCTTGATTGCAACAAGTAAACTGCGACAAGTGGGCTGGGTAGTTTGTCTCCTAATGGGTTCTGTCACCTCTGTGCCTTGCAAGATGATGGAACAGATCCTCCTAGAAACTATGCTAAAGCACACAGATCATGAGGAGGTGATTGGTGACAGCCAGCATGGCTTCACTAAGGAAAATCATGCCTGACAAATTTGGTGGCCTTCTAAGACAGGGTTACAGTTTTGGTAGATAAGGAAAGAGAAACTGTTGTCATCTACCTGGATTTGTACAAAGCATTTGGCACTGTTCCACATGACATCCTTGTCTCTAAACTGGAAAGGCATGGATTTGATGGATGGATAACCCAGTGGATAAGGAATTAGCTGGATGATCCCACTCAAAGAGTTGTGGTCAAGTGCAGTCCTGCACCTGGGCTGGGGCAATCCCAAGCACAGCTACAGTGGAAAATGGTCTGAGAGCAGCCCTGACGAGAAGGACTTGGGTGTATTGGTTGATGGAAAGCTCACCATGAGCCGGCAGTGTGTGCTCACAGCCCAGAATGCAACTATATGCTGGGCTGCATCAAAAGAAGCTTGACCAGCAGGTCAAAGGAGATGATCCTGCCCCTCTATTCTCCTGAATCCCCACCTGCAGTACTGTGTTCAGCTCTGGGGCCCCCACACAAGAGGGAAGTGGAGCTGCTTGAGTGGGTCCAGAGGAGGGCCATGATGATTGATGATGACCGGGGGCTGGAGAATCTTTCCTGTGACGATGGGCTGAGCGAGTTGGTCCTGTTCAGCCTGGAGAAGAGAAGGCTCTGGGAAGACCTTACAGCAGCCTTCTAGTACCTAAAGGGAGCCTATGAGAAAGCTGAAGAGGGTCTTTTTAGCAGGCCTTGAGTGACAGGACAAGGGGGAATGGCTTTAAACTGAAAGAGCGCAGGTTTAGATTAGATATTAGGAAGAAATTCTTCACTGTAAGGGTGGTGAGACACTGGAACAAGTTGCCCAGAGAAACTGTGGATGTCCCATCTCTGGAAGTGTGCAAGGCCAGGTTGGATGGGGCTGTGAGCAACCTGGTCTAGTGGAAGGTGCCCTTAGATGATCTTTAAGGTCCTTCCAATCCAAATCATTCCAGGATTTATAATTCATTCTGTTCACTTGCATTGCGAAGTGCTGACATAATACTACTGAGCTCATCAGTGGGAAAGACCCAGTTTCTTCAAGTGCGGTTTTACTCTGAAGGGTGACTGCCTCGAAAAGTTACTTTTGCTTTATGAGCTCTCTCTGCAGCATGAGTCAGAATATCACAGAAGCCTTCGCTTACAGAGATAGGTTTGCATAGCTAGACACATTCAACACACCGGGTGTACTCTGCATCCTCAAAGCTCAGAGCCCCACCACAGCTAGGGGGCAAGACCAGCCACCCCTGGGACAGGCTCACTCCTGATGATCCAGATGGCACAGCAAAAGCTATGCCTCATGTAAGGAGCCTTTCATTTACAATTGCCTTGTATTTAAAGCACCTTCTTCTATTAACTCCAGATGTTTTACCTTGCAATATTAAACACAAAAGCAGTCACAAAAGGCATATCATTAAAATTCAGGAAACCAAATTTCTGCTTTGCACAACAGTAGGAAATAATAATAGTATATCACCACAATTTCTTAATAAACTGGATGTTCAGTCCTAAAGTGAGAGATGCAGCAGGTATAGAAACAAACTCCTCTCCCATTTTCTTCAATCTGCATGTGCCATGTCACCTAAATGGATTACCATAGACTACAGAAGCCTATGAAGCCTCACGTTTTGTCCTCTCCAGACCCACATACATGGGCAGTGGCCTGAAACAACAGATTACTACCACAAAAATATTTCATATTAAAAGTCACCTGGAAGAGGAGGGAAAATGCAAGTTCTCTAATTTGCCTGTGTTCTGACCTGGATGTCCCTGTCACTCTTCCCGACAAGAGGAGGTGGTGGGTTTCCCCAGCTGGCTTTTGGAGTTAAGCACCAGTCTCGTCTGCCATTCTTCTACCTGAAGGCAGAAGCACTAACACTGAGAAAAAGCCCTGCAAAATGGCAAAAAATGTTTGTTGCAGACCTTGTTTTATCACATAGCTGGAACACCTGAAGATATTTAGGAAAAATAAGAGTATTCTTGCTTTGAAAGGAAAATCTGAAGATTACCCAGCAAGGCTCAAGGAAAAAAAATCAATGTGCTTAATTTGTCATGAAGTCCCTGATGATTTTCTGAGGAAATCTACAGATAAACTCTGTGGTTTTAATGTAGCCAAATTCTGAAAATGGGGAACACTTCAGGTCTCAAGTCAGTAACCTCTTACAACATGAACTGCCAGAATCAGGCTGCAGCTTGTGAATGTCCTCTTCGATATTTAATTTAAAAATCCTAATTAAAGTTTCTTCCCTTTAGAGTTTCTGAAAGGAAAAGAAATGGGACATGAGGAGACCCTAAAAGCAGGAAAGAAAAGCACTGCTCCAGATTGCCCTCACATCAAGTCATTCTCCTAAGCCAAGTTTCAAGCTAACCCTGGGTTAGTACTGAGTTGGTGAGATCAGTGACTGTGAAATCAGTCTCCACTTACACATCACTGTGAGGAAAAAGGAATGGGAAAAAAACACAAGCTTATGTACGAGGTCAGATCTGTCTTAAGAAACCAAGAAATACCTGATTTTTTTTTTCACCTTTACCTTGCCTTTCTTTTCTTTTCTTGGGTACTGCTTTGGAGGACACATACGCCTTTATATTATCCACGCTTATGACCTGCACTGGGGGCTCACAAGAATGAATGCAAGCTTTAGTCAATTCACAGAAGCAAAGGAAAGCCAAAGCACACACACAAGGGCTTTGATACACTGAGACTCGACAGCAGGCTCTATGACAGAGCCAGATACAGCTTCTGAACACATGGATTTCATGGCTGGAGAAACATTCATGCTGGACAGACAGCAAGGGTTTCACTTTCACAGCGCAGCGTGGGCCGGGTGGGGGTGGGGGGAGAACCCTGTGAATCACAATGGACACTTTCCCAAGGGTTTCTCAGGAGATTTACAAGTCTAATTGTAATCTTAGTTTACTCAGGCATGGCCTCTAGCAGAGCCGCAGGCACACCACCCCCTCCTGCTCCACCCTTGCATCCCTCAGGCCATCTCTTGTTCCATTACACCCACATCCCCAGGCTCAAGCCCAGTGCTAATATCTGCCTCCACTGTCTGGGACCCAGACCCATCCCTCACCTCTGGGATCTTGGGACTGCCCACACATCCCCCTCTCCACCAGGCATGACCCATCTCCACACTCTGCAAGTAGAGCTTTTGCTGGAAAGGCAAAATAAAATTTACCCTCATTTTGCACATGGTGGAAGCCTCACTGTTGGATCCACCAGTTAGCACACTGGTGGACCCTTCTGAGGTACCCACGATGCTTCAAGAGGCCCTAAACTTGCTGTCACCTTCCCTTTTAGCAGGCCAGCTTACCCAGAGCTGCTTAACTCTCAGGAGACAATTCAGTGGCAAAAACTGGCAACAGAGAAACATATCAGCTCAGGTCCACTGATTTATGTGAAAGAAGGCTGATGACGGTGGGGTAACCTGCACAACAGGCCCAGCCTAGGCTGTGAGAGGCAAGAGAAGAGGGAGAAGCACAAACTAGCACCAGCACATCTGCAGGGGAGGGAGGGAGGGATGGTACTGATGGTAGAGGACTAAATGTCTATAGATTTAGCCACAAACGGATCTCCATCAGCAAATTTCTGGGTGGGGAAAAAATACTGGTGCAAAACACACTGGACAGACAAAAGTCACCCTGATAATTTGGGCAGACTAGGCAAAGTACATGTACCTTTTTCTCTGAAAACCCCATTGATGTCACTGATAGAACAAATTGCCGTCATTTGACAGTTTGCTCAGCCCTTCAGATTGTTGCTGACCATTCGGGTTTTTTCAGCAGAATTAGTCATGCCATAAATTGTTACACTTGAAATAAGAATGACAATCACCAGATTATTATCCATTTAATTAAAACAAACCTAAGTATTTCACACTATATATACAGTATGAGGTTCATGTGCCAAATATCAAGATATGGAGTGCTTTGGAATTTATATTGACGTCAGTTTTTTGCTTCAGCCAACATTTACCTTTTAGGTCAATACATTTTTATGTTTGTCATAACAGAAGTGAGCATCAACATGCTTATGACTGTAATTATTTAATTTAACTCTTTCAGTGCTTGAAATAACATTTGCAAGGAAGAAGGAAAACACAGTGGCTTTGCCTGGCCTTTCTCTCAGTTAAATCCAGTAAAATGTTATTGCACTGCTGTTATCTGGAAGAATCACCTCACTCTTTGCCAGTGGTGGCTCAGAATATATAACAACATTGCCAGTAATATTAAATAACAGTAATAGCCCACCTGAATAGCCGGGAGACAAACATTCAGTTATTAAAAGTGATGGTACAGAATTGCCTCATTAAGCCTGGTAGCTTGCTGTTTACAATGGGCTAGTGCCAGAAGAAGAACACAGTTTTACAGCTTTTATTGCTATTGTCTCAATACATTGAAAAATAGTCTGTTTTCAGATAACTTAAAAAAACCAACCTGATTTTAATCAATATGAGGTATCTGAATTCTGTGGCCACCATTTGGCATTTGGTTCAGCCCTGCTGAGATAAGTAACAGAATAAGCGTTTTTCTGTTTGGTTTATACAAGAAGTAAGTAAACTGTTTGCTTTCATTTAGCACGCTCCACTTGCCAGCATTATCCATGCCAGCTCAAGCACTAGTGGAGAAAACAACATCTACCCAGGGGTGGATGATACACGTTACGTGTGCTTCAAAGTCCAGTTGTGGGTAAACCACAGCTGTAGGTACCAATGGCTTCCGCAGCACCACCATCTCAAGGAACAACTTCATGTCCCCAGACATTCAAGCCTAAAGCAGTTTGAGGATGAGAAGAGTATATAGAATCAGTATAAAATGTGCAGGCACAACTGCCCTGCCAAAAAAATATGCTCATGCACTCACATGGTAGGCTTGTTGGCAGACTCTCTCCCTTGCTTTCTCTCGCGTATGTATACATGCATATATATGTGTGTATATACATGTATATATGTGTATGTATATATCTTTGCTTCTATTTTCTGGGCCACAAATCTTCCCTGCAAGCCTAGAATTGCCAAAAACCATTTCACTGGCCTTGCTCCAAACTATTAACAATACAAACAGCTGTTCTGCTCCAGCAATACCAGAGAAGCAAGGAAAAGAAGGCATGCTGTACACACAGAGGAGAAGGAGGGACATTAGTGGAGAGATGGGAAAAGCACAGAAGAGGTTTTACCCTTCACAAGTAAAGCACACCATCACTGAGGTGTGGTACCCTCCAAAGGGTGTAACTGTGAGTTTCTAGGCATCTCCCTAACACAGCATGTCTCCATGCCCAGGGTGCGATCCCCAGTTTCTCCCCAAGACGTGGGCACGGGATGTTTTGGTGGCTGCCTGTGTCCAGAGCAGAGCCCTTACTCCAGTACTGAGGCTTCTCTTGTGCAGCACCAGTTCTGTACAACTCTGCGCTCATCCCCATCTCAATTACAGTTCCTCTAAGCAAACAGGAGGAAGGAAGGTCAGTGTGCTCAATTGCAGCCTGAAAACAAAGATAAAAAAAAACATGCAAAATTGGCTCTAAGCGCATAAAAGGCAAACAGTTTCCCTCACTTTCCAGTAACTCATCACCTTAAAGGCAGAAGATAGACAATTAACAGTATGGGTTGTGTGTTAAATCACACTGGGGGGCTAGGGCTTAAACCCACTTTAAAGAAACTAGGCCAATAATTTTATGAGGCATGGGAATTGTTAAATTGGGCTATCCCTTCTGCTTCATACAATTGCATGAAGACTGATATTGTGGAGAGCTTTTTAGTGAAGGCCTTATATTGCTCTAGGTCACGACATTTGCATTTGTGAAGATTACATTGAAAGCACACGAAATGAAGCATCATGAACAAACAGCAGTGTTTTCATCTTTAAAAAAAAAAAAAGCCCACATTCCATCCGTGGGAATATGGTACCAGGGACCGGGAAACAATGATTTCTATTTCCAGCTTTGCTGTCAATTTACAGGAGTCTGACCTTAAGCAAATCATCTTACTCAGGAACCTCATTTATCAGCCTCAGGTGTGTAGGGGCTCATTAGCACCCTCACTAATGAGCTTCACATAATCATATGCAAAGCACACCATTTTAGTGGGTTTTGGAAGACTAAGATTTGTAAAGCCCTTTGAAATTCAAGATGATGGAGATATGTAAAGATCTCCCTCTTGCTCACTTGCTCTCTTTCACACACTCTCCAGGTGATAAAGAGAAATTCCATTTTAAATATTTCAATTCCCAAGCACAAACAGTGTAAAATCAAAGTCCAGTTTTTGAAGTTTTATTGCTTCTTTGAAATAGTGTTAACACACACACAAACAAAATAAATCCAAACAGCAGCAAGTTACTGGAACTGTTGATCCTGAGCAAGCAATAAAGGCCTAAACAAAGTTGAACTTTGGATTATATCCCATGTTTATATAGTTGCTGTATACTTTCAGAACACCTCATGTGCTACTTTTATGCTTCTTGCCCTTTTGTAGCCTCAATAGTACAGAGGCAGTCACCTGCTATAAGTGCACAGTTGCAAGCCTGTGACTTATCTTCAACTAATTGGTACAGGTGGAAAAAAATTAGTTTTCATGCCTACAGCTCCAAAGCAAAGAATTACTCTGTTCCCAAAAGAGCATCTCAATTTTTTTGCAGTTGTAACACTTGGTCTAATAAAAGATTTTAGTTTTACCTACAAATCTTGTCCACCCAACTTCCTTTGAACAATGTTCTTGTAACAAAACACCAGGGTAAAAGCTTTGACTTACTACTCCTCCTTACTGGAAATAAAAGGTGCACAGGTTTTGGCTGGGATACAGTTAACTTTTTCCATAGCAGCTTATATGATGTTATGTTTTGGTTTGTGACCAAAACAGGTTTGATAATAAACTGATGTTTTAATTACTGCAGAACAGTGCTCACACAGAGTCAAGGGTTTTTCTGCTTCTCAGTGTGTCCTGCTCTTGAGTAGGCTAGGAGTGCACAAGAAGTTGGGAGGGGGACACAGCCAGGACAGCTGACCCCAGCTCATGCTTGCATGTGCATGCACATTTTGCTTTACCTATTAATCTGCCTTTATCTCAATCCAGGAGTTTTCACACTTTTACTCTTCCAATGGTCTCCCCCATCCAGCTGAGGGGGATCAGCAATTGGGAGTGGGATGAGCTGCCCATCAGGGCTAACTCACAGCAACAGGCTATTTCTAGCAAGGTAAGTACATCCACAAAAGGCTGGAGTCCATCAGTACTGCTTTAATCAGAGCAAATTATAGTTACACTACTTTAAGAAGATCAAAGTGGTAGGTTGAACATTTTCCCAAATTGAATTTAATGTGAAAACAGAAACAAAAACCAAAGGGGCTTTCTAGGAAGTGTGCCAGAAGCTACCTGACAAGCAAACTGCAATATCCTTGCACAATCAGTCTCATTTCCCCTTCCACACACAGCAGGTCTAAACCAAGGATAATCCCTATGAATGTCTGCAGCAAAGCATGCTGGTAAGTCTCCCCTGCACAACCAGATACCTGAAATCAGAATAAAATAACTCTTCTCTGCATGTGGAAAGCTGGACACCAGGCACTGATGCAGGACTCAAGCAATCACTCTGCTACGCTCATACAGCTTCTTCCTTCTCTGTCCCAAAGCCTCCAGGGAAGGACAATGGCCATTTCACAGACACGAAGCTGAGGTCCCAGTGCCACGTTTTTTTAGGATATGTAGGTACTTTGCAAAGACCCTCAAATCCGTGTCAGCTGCCTAACCCTCATAGGGAGCAATTGCTGTCAGAGTCCAGGCAAACTTCAGAAAAGCCTCCATAAGTGGCCACATAGGAAACCCTTGTGCCAGTTTCATCTCTTTTTTTTCACAGGCACAGGCAAGCCATTTGCAGCCCAGGGAGCCCACACTAAAACAAGAGCACTTTCCTTGTGGAGAAAGGAAGGATTTTCTGTGGGAAAAGTGGCCAGAGCAGCCTTGTATGACACCTCGGGGCTCCGGTGAGCCACAGCCTTCCTGAAAAGATATATATAACAGCAAGAAATTGTGTTGAAGGGTAAGTGGGGAATTTGTCCTGGTTTGTTTGGTGCAAGCTTTGCACAAGCTAAATATTTGCTTGGATGGAGGTTTTGGGCATTAAAATTAAAGAGAAACAATACTTTGATGAGGCAAAAGTCCCTAGGCAATTAAGGTTTTGTCAGGATGAGAAAGTAGCAGAAAGACCACCATTTTGCAGGAGATGAAATCAGATTCTTATCACTGATCAGTTTCGTTTTCTCATTGAACATAATTGCATTACTTTGCATTTATCCTTGGGTAAGGAAAAGGAAAACAGATTTAAGGTTCTACGTAAGAGAAGTTAGGTAAGGCGAGGTCAGAAAGCTCTAACTTGCTTAGAGCTTTAGTCTTGTCTCACCAACTGAATAGCTTTGCTTCCCCTTTGCACTTGCTACAACCCCTCAAGGACAAGGAAAGCTCTCTGCACCTTTCTAAAGCCAGTACAAAACCTCACCTTCCTCCACTTCCCAGAGGATCCAAAAGGCTCTCACGATTTCATCACATCTCAGACCATCCCCCAGATCCAGCAGGGTTCAGGGCTCCTCAAGCCAGCACTGGTTTGCCTCGACAGGCCAAGCAATCTCCAGCGCAACCGCCCATGCAATCTGAGGAAAAGGCAACTGCAACACAGTAGCCACATTTTTCCTTCTGTGACCTTCCTCCCCTTGCTGCCACCCAGCCAACCCCTTGCTGCAGGGCTTCTCTCTCTTAATGGTGGGAGCTGTCCAGGGGACCAAACCTATGAGCAGACTTTGAAGAGGTCCAGGTTAACAATAACCCCTTAAAAAAGAAGTAAAAGCATGTGGGAAGAGCTGCTAAGGCCATGCAACACATGGCAGAGCCAAGTAGGTGGCAGTTGGTGGTAGTGGGAATGAGAAAGGATGGGGCAAAACCAAGCATCTCGAACCAAACCATATTCCCAGAAAAGCCAGAGCTGGGGTCCATTTCCAACACATTCTGACATCCCCCATCCTGCAAAAGTGCTTAAAACCCTGGAAGGGTCAGTGTCAGGCCCTCCTTGGTGAAGAGAGGTCTTTCCCTCTTGCACTTCCTCGTGCTTTGTTCAGAGAAACAGCCTTCAGGGAAATAAGACTTTTCCCAACTAGGGGCTGGCAGCTTGCCCCAGTGTTCCTCCCCAGAATAACCCCATTTAGCATTATTGACCCCCACCCGACACCAGCACCCACGAGAAGCTGTGTGTGACTGACACTGGGACGGTGCTGGAGGAGTCACCTGAATTGCTGCCAAGGGAAGCAGACAAGCCCAAGGGCCCAGCGCCTGAGGGAAAGGGTGCTTCTGGCACCCAGCACCTGAAAGCCTTTCCCACGGAGGGAGAGGGGAGCTAGCAGAAGCCCTGTGTCCCCTGTTCTGCTCAGTACTGGGCTATGTGAGATTTCTCCTAGATGGTGATCCTCTTACTACCTTCATGCTGCTAAGATGATGGCTAATATATTAAGAAATGTCAAGAATGGATTTAAGGCATATCATCCCCCCAGCCACCTGGGTCAGCACCACTTCTCACACTGTAACCTGGATGTGGACTAAAGATTCTTCCTTTGCTGCAGAAAAACATCCTCTTTCTTCCAGACAGGAATGAACCAGTGTGGGGTAAGGTGTCGAAAGTCCCTGCACAGCTTGCCATTACCAGCACAGTTGTGTTGCCAGGACTGATGCTGGGGTGTTTCCTACCTCTCAGGCCCAGACAACTAGAATGCCCACCCACTCCTGCCTTAAAGGGAAGGCTTGTTCCCTGCTGGGTGCATGAGCTGGCTCTGCATGCATTTGCATGTCTTCCGATAGCACCCAGAGAGCCACTCTTCCAAAATCATTGCACTGGAGACACCATGAGTCTAATGTTGTGATGATTAACACCAAACTCGGTCCCCATCCTGAAGACCTCTATTCCTCTGCATGCCTCATGAGCTTGCATGCAGTTCCAGGATGGGCTGTGTGTGGCAATCCACTTTCCCTTGCAAGACAAACATCATGTGTTTGCCCTTCAGCCCCAGCCCTCCCCATGCACTCATACGCATATTTATATGGGCAGCATTGAGAATAGGGTCACCAGAGAGTATCTTGGGGTCTGAGAATATCCTCCTGGTACCGGCATCCCAGGCAAGCTTCTGCATAGTCCTGGGACATGGGAAGTACTTTGCTGTTCCTCTGAGAGCAGGAAAGGGAGATGCAAGAGAAGGTTTTAAGAACAATCATCTGCCTTCCCCAATGCTGAGGATCTCTTTCCCCCTCCTAAAGAAGGTTTAGCTCATCAGGAATCAAAGAAAAGCAACAGGGAGAAAGGGAAACAAGAGCAGAGCTGCAGGGAGAGACAGGGCCATGGCTGGCAGGGCACAGGAGAGCAAGCTGAGCCATGCCACTGAGGTATGAGCCATGCCCCAGGCTCATACCAC